ATTGATGAGCTACAGAAAATAAACAGATGTTTTTGTATGAAGCACTTTCAAAAAATCTCAAGTACTGTTCATTTTTATTAGAAACAAAATCCCCAAACTATATTTGCAAAATCCAACTTTGAAAAAGAAAGATAAGCAATTTTGAAAAGCCACTCTTTAAGTCATAAACAGCCAGATACACAGACACCAGTTCAGATGCAAACCTTTGTCTCCCTTATAGAAAAATGGGCCACCTGAGTCCTGTTGAGTTTTACTGGTGCCGGTGGAAGTATCCTTCTAAGTAATGCTGCACACTGGCTCATTAGTCACTGGATAGAGTCCTTCACCACAGGAGATGAGATGAATTGAAGAAATACACACATGCACTGTACACCTGCACACACATGCCTTGGAGACTGTTCAAGCAGAAAAAGAAACTGCAGCAGAAGTAAAAGCTTATGGAATCAGATAATATTGTTTTTATCATAAAAGAGGTGTCAGGTGGTGAGCATCCAACACATTTTGAACTGTTTCATAACTGAAGAACATAGATCAAATCTTCCTTGTGATCAATCACATAAGATGATGATCTACCATGGGTACGCTACAATAATTACACAATATGCAGTCAAGTGTTATACAATTAGGCTGTTGGTACCGCAAAGACAGAAAAAAAAACATGTTGGGTACAGCTGGCAAAGTGTGGCCTCATGTGGTATTCAGTCATCTATTTATTAAGACTAATGCTCCACATTCGACCATTTTTTAAAAATAATGCAACACCAAACAAGTTGTGCGACTATGGGGGGAGGCGGTGTTACTAACTGATATTTGTAATACGCTCGGTTGTAGTATGTTCAAATTGGTTTGAATTGACTGTAATTTGATTTTAATTTTATCCTGTTTTGATTTTAAATGTATAATTAGCTTTGTTTTTTGTGAAGTGTTTATTTGCTTGGTTAAATAAATGCTATTTACTTAAGGAAAAAATAATTCTGATAGCAAGAAAAAATATTCAAAATTTTTGGGAAATTAAAAAAGGACAAGCTCTTTGTTCTGCACATATACAGTCCTCACAGTGTCTTTAGGGCTTATTCACTTTTGGGACAATAGTAAGATTTAAGCTTGAATTGCAAATGTGCTTTAAATGGCAGATATTTTACTGCAGCAGGAAACTGCACTGATCTTGTTTTAACTTAAATATCACAGTTTTAGTACTTGTTATACTGTACTACTTCTGTGTAAGATATGAACTTAAAAACCTATAACTCTTGTCAACCAGCAATACTACAAGGCTGTACAATAGTTGTACTTTTGTTATATTACTATGGTAGGACATAATGTGTTTTTGCATGTGTAACATATGAAGTAGTGATCTTTTTAACATGAAGAACAAAATATAAAAAATCGTAATCAAACCTTTGTATAGTTTTGTATCATATTTACAATAAATAGTTTAATTAGTAATTTGATTTAAAACAATATCCCTTTTGGAAGATATGAGTGATCAGAAAGACAAACTCTTTCAGACTTATTATTGTTTCCCTACCAAAAAAATCTATCCACAATCTGCAATGATTACAGGCAAGATGTAGGTACAGTAATACTAATTAATACAGTATTTAACTCATCGGAAACACACTGTGCAGTTTAAATGTTTATACGAAAGTGTGAATGTTTCCTGTGGAACTCAGGCCACAATCAACTTTGTAATTCCTTTTGATATGGTATAATTTCTCAATATTACACAGTCAAAGTCTCATTAATAATACATGTAACATTCTGCCACACACTTACCAAACTGTGAGTCGACACAGGTATCTAAACATCTATTTTCCCACACTTGGAGCTAGGTAAACAATGGACTCCAGAAGGTCATCCATTGTTAACATTTGAAAATTAAAAAGGAAAACAAAGTAGACAGGAACAAAGGAGGAAAGAAAGGGTGAAAGTTTAAAAACAAGTGACAGCCGAGTGGAAATGATTTCAGTGCCTTAGGCTACATCCAATTATATTGACACTGCAAGTCCTCCCAGAACTCATTTCGAAGGCATTGAACACTAAAAGAAGTCCCGACTATAATGAACATTTTCTTCTTGTATCGAGCAGGACAACTTTACAGCGAAAAGACCAGCATAAAGATTGCTGACCAAAAATGGGACATTTTCTTCAATGTTCTTATTGGAGTTTGCAATTTGGAGTTTATTACCTCTGGGAAGCTTATCAGTCTTAGAAAGACAGCAGTCAAACAAATAAACCCCTACGAAAACAATAACTTAAATATGTTTTGCTTGTTTTCCCTTCACTGTATTCTGTGCAATAGCTTTCCTGGTTATTTGTCTCTATGTCCATATATCCATCATGCCCTGATCATCTGTCCATCTTGCCTAACTTTTGTTAGACCATTTATCTCCCCATCCAAACAGAACAGAAAATCCATTATCAGTGTGCCTTTAGGATTCTTGTAAGAGAAGATGAGGCAGAAAGGTTGTAAACAGAGATGTGATCAATGAGTTAGACAACATCAGACAAAAACTGATGGTTCAACAATCAACTCCCCTATTAAAGCATTTTCATTTAATAAAATACACCAACACAGCCTACAACTATTATCCTTCTTAATAATTTAGGAAATGTGCTAGAGTCTGTTTCCAGTCTATTGCTTACTAGTCTTACCATTACTTGGAAAATGACAAAAATGCCAGAGCTTTTACTTAATATACACAAGGGAGAGACTTGGCAGGAGATGTGTTTATGAGATTTCTAAATACTCCTGTTCCATTACTAATAAGACAATAATGGGGAGGCCTTTTAAAGGCAAAGTGAAGAGCCCTATGAACTTCTTAGAAATGTAAGAAAATATTGCAAACTCTTAAGTGAGATGTGCATCGCTGACCCACTTCTGAGAAAAAGAAGGAAAAAACACTCCCCAGGGTCATACCGTAGCTTTCATTATATTATTCCCTACAGAAAATACAGTACTTTCATATTAATAATAAGAAGAATCTTAGTCCCTCTTTTCAACTTTCTTTTTAAACATAAATTTTCCTGCTTTTTATTTCACATTCATTAATAATTTCACCAATTTACCATTGCTAAAATGTTCACATCAAGAAATGTTAAGAACTGTGTAGAAAATAAATGCACAAATGTTTTGAAGTTTTCTAAAATGCAACAGGATATATTTGTTGTTTAACCTGAAGAGGCCTAAAATTGTATTGTGTGACCGACCAACTTTATATTTATATATTATACAGTATATACATACACACATAGCAACAACATGTTCAAAAGTTATAGGAATAAATTGTTATTTATCACCTGTTACCAAAAGGCAAAATATGATAGTGTCTGTGCCTGCATCTGCTTTTGCAAGTGTTCAGTCTTCTATAGTGTTAGCAAAATGCATCTTGAATTGTAACTTTGAGAAAGTCAGTGGAGCTGACCAATTCATGATGGTGACGAGCAGTAGGACACTATTGTGGTAAAACTCAGTATTGAAATATGGTGCAGTATTTAAAAATTATGACACTCTGGAGCCTAATCCCATGACCTGTTTCAATCACCCAAGCCTGGAAGATATGTCTTCACTGAGACTCTGTTTCAATTTGTGTCGAAAGCAGAGATTTCCAAACACCAGCTTTTAAATTGTGTTGATAGGCCAACTAAAACCACAGTTATGATAATTAACATTAACCACTTTTTTTCTGAACATGACTGTCCTTATTTGATGCATGTTGCAGCAGCAGGCAGAAGAAAGCATGGTAGTCTCATGGAAAAATAAAACATTTCAATCCGCAGTAATCTACAGAAGAAAATAGAATGACGCACATGTTGAATGAAGTTGGATGGAGAGATGAGGGGAGTGGACAAAGTAACTAATCATGCCACATATCATACACCCCTCTCCCTGACCCTTTCTGCCCTGCCTTGGTTATACCCTATATCATAATATTGTCTAAAGATTATGTTGTTATGAAAAAGATCAATACGGCCCAACTACAGTCAATTAACATTAGGATACATAAAAATAGCAAATATATGTTGCAATAGCTAAGGCTAATTCAGAACAGATACTTTGAGTGCTAACAGAACACATGCGATTGTGCAATAATGAATAAAGAAACATGATAGTTTCAGGATTGGACCAAAACAACTAGCACTCCATCATTTCTCAACATAAGATGGTTTAGTTTAAAATTCGGACAAAGAAGGCAGTGGGCAATATGAATTACTTCAAAGCACGCTAGATCATTAAAATCTGTAACTTCTGTGTAACAGTAGCAGTTCTTAAATGTAGGACTTCACAAAAAAAAAAACAACAAAGTTTCATGTTGTGCTCTTTACTTGATCTGATCTTCTCTGCCATATATTTGGCCTTTCCTCTAAAACAGTTCCAGTGCTTTTACTGGGCCAGTTTAAAACAGAAATAAATTGCTATAGGTTAGGACCTATAGCAATTTATTTCTGTTTCTATCAGAATAGCATCAGCTCCATCCCTGTAAGCCTGAAAGCACCAACTTTTTGCTGGGGCAGAGCCTGTTAATTGTCTAGTTCATTGTATCCAAGAGAAAACAATTAAAATCTGAGCATCCGCATGCATGTGTAGTCAGTGCAGCAGTGAAGACACATGAGAGCTTTATTTCTCAAACATTTGTTTAATATGTTAATATCAGCAATTATGTTTCTGTTTGCTGGAGAAGGTACTTAGGCACCACATGGCATTCTTCTCCCAACTTTTTTTAAAGATCATTTGTATTCATGTTTTTATGACACTTGTTTTTGAGCAAAGGGTTTTTTGTAGAGGTTTAGTCAAGTCCCAATGGAAAGACTTTAAACAAGAACAATTAAATGCCACAATGGTCACAACGCCACATTGCACTTCTTACCGTGTACAAGAGGAACAGATGGAAAACTCTTATCCATCATGGTTCTTGTTAAAACATTTACTCTGTACAGCGTCAACATCTACATAAACTCGCAAACTGACAGTTGGTTTCCCTCAGAGAAGCGAGTCTTACCTCCAAGGCAGCAGACCTTTTCCGCAGCAGCTGTTCAATGTTCCTGGCTGCTCTGGCCACCAGCTTGTCTGCATCATTTTGCTCCACAGTGTAGAGGTGCTGGTTCCTCAAAAAAATCTGGATAATTGGAAAGTAATCAATCACATGTGGAAATTCTGGATTATACATAAAGATCGACTGATTTAGAGGAGTGACATTTTAAACAATCAGCTTTGTCAAATTATATAATGGACAACATAATCTGATAATTAAGTAAGGCTTTCCCTATGAAAGTATATTTAAAGTTTTTAGGAGTGTTTATACCTGAGAGAGATGCTTCCCGGCTGTGGCTGTATCTGCCAGGGTGACGAGCTCTTTCTGCATCTGATCAACCCATTCTTTAACCCTGAGGGACAAAACGATGCACACGATCAATCTTGTGACTGAAACGTTAGCAGTTTAGAACCGACATCTCAGGCATTTCAAAGCACAATTAAACTGCCAATCATGCAGTTTCACATCTGTCCTGTGACATGAACATCCAGTCGTATAACATGAAACCAACCAGAAACAAATACAATCCCTACTTTTGGTCAAGCTGGATGTCGCCCAATCTAATGCAAACGGCCAGGAACAAACACAACAGAATTTAATAAAGCATGTGTCACTGGTTGATCCAATTTCCTTAAGAGTTCAAACAAAAAGTCAACTCATCAGATAGGTGTCAGTTATCGTGAAAGGGGGGCATAAATTTGAAGGGACAGGTGGGATGTGGGAGGTAGCCCCGATCATGTTGTTTGAATCAAAAACCTTTGCCTCAGTTTCAACATCCTGGTGCCACACATTTTAAGCCATTCAGATAGGACACTTAGTGACTTGCTTGAGTCAAAAAAGTTTTCTAAACTGGTTTAAGTTTGTCACCCTCTGGATTATACACATAGTATTGTCATAAATTAGTTGTTTTTTAGTCATTTTGCCAAAAGCACAATAACCCTCCCTCCCGTAAGATGAAAATGACAAGAGGATGATGACAGTGACATTGTAACAAATAATTATAGTCATGTTTTTCCAAAGATGGACCTCAATAAAAGGAAGAGCTTTGTGTGCCACCAGATAAGGGTTAGGCAATATTGGCAAAAAAAAAATCACAGTTAATTCTGGCATTTGGCTCACAACGATTATTATGATGATTAATAGATGATAATCATACCTGCATGTTTTTTAAACTCTAAATCACTTTGTATTTGAAAAAGTAGACTTACAAATAATCAGTCAAATTAATTTCTTGCTTTTAACATGTTAAAATGATATTGTGGATTTAAACCCACCTTTTCCACAATGTGGAGTGTCAACATATAGTAGCGCAGTGTGTCACGAGTTCACACAGAAATACGACACCATGTGACACTAATCATAGTAATAGCAAAGTGGCATATAGGAATCAATAGTAGGCTTGAGCAGTATGATAGTATTTTGGTATACTATGGAAAATTACAAATTTACAGTTTTCACACACTCAAAAGGAGTGGGCAGAAGTATACTTATATTAGCCCACCTCTTCTCCTGCAACCTTATTCCCATCACTTCTTATTTATCAAAATAATTATTAATTACTTAAAAACTGAATGCATCCAACAACAGTGTCACCTGCAATTCCTTTTTACTTTGAAACCATTTCAAACTTGACAGTTTTCTTTCAAGATTAAACAGTTTACGTTAAAAGTTTGCCCTTAAAACCTGTTGTTTATGTTGAAGAGAAAAAATGGTGATATTGTATTTTGCAACAATATCAATAAATATTTTCATTGAATCGAATCAAATCAAATCGTGATTAATCGATTCAGAACTTTATGAATCGAAATCAAATCGAGTTAGAGAATTGGCCACGATACCCAACCCTAGTAAAGTGAGGTGAAGCACCAAATTTCCACAAGGCTGCTATGGAAACTGGGACATAAATATTCTAGGTTTTTTTCAGAAGATACCCCATAGAATTACTGAGGCATATTTTGATCACCTCAGTCCATTCAGAAGACAAAAAGGAGGAGTGTGAGTGACATAGTCACCCCTGCTTTATAAAATAATTGCAGTCACCCCCTTCACCGATCTACACATCTCCTCTCTCCAATCAGGCACAATTTATTTTTTGTGTCTTCATCTGGCACCCCCTCTGCCGCTTATGTAGTGTATGCAAGTTTACAAAATTTACAGAGTAAAAACAATACAAAAAAAAACTTGATAGATCCAAAAATCTGCAGTGCCCTGAGAGTGTCCTGAGGTGTCGCTAGCTGAAAGAGGGCATTGTAAAACTGAACAGGGTGTCGTTATGATGCCCCTCTAGCCACTTGCCTGATGTAAATGCTCACAAGCAGCTGTTTCTCTGTTAATTAATATACTGTGGCATGAAAAAGATCAGTAGCACCCAACTCCAAGTGATGTCAGTTTCACTGATGCAAAATTGCACACAATTTGATTTTGCCCTACCCTAATCCAGATGCATTACCTCACAATTTCATGTTTTCCTGCAAACAATGCATTTATTGTGCAGAAACATAAATATACTAACTGCTTAACATTTTAACAGTGACTTAGTTCCAATCCTTCCCAACGATAAAGAAGTATACATACAAAAAATATATATATGAGGGTTACTATTCATATTGCAAATGGATATTCTTGAAAACTGTCACTATAATGCCAAATATATATGCAGAAGTGAGTGCAAATGATATAGTGTGATGCTAAGAGAGTGGGAAAAGGAAAAAAAAGGATCTGAGAAGTTGGAAACAAAAAGTACAGATAGATGCGCAAGAGACTCACAAAACATGGTGGATGAGAAAAGTTCAGAGACAGGAGAAATATGAGACCTTTTGCAAGAGAGCAAGCACCCGAGGGGATAACACTTTGTGAAAAAGCTTAGCAGATGCAAAGTGAAAGTCAAAATATGTATATTGATGTTTGCTGCTCCAATTTTTGACTCTCAACAAAAGAGTTTAAACTCTGGAATTTCTTTGGAAAACGCAATACTATTCTAAAAAAGTCTATGTACCGTAATCTCATGTGTGACACAAGGGG